ATGTTTCTCAGGCTTCGTATTCTGATAAGGGGTCATCTTTTAAGTCACTTGTATGGAGTATTATAGGACTTGGCTTATTACTCTTATTAGGAACATGTCTCCTATCAGTAATAATTAAAACCTTCATCAAGGCCTTTTAGAATGTTAAAGCTGATCTGCATAAGATTAAACTCCAGCATCTATCCTAGCAGAGGTTGATAGTCAAAGTAGGGTAAGATCTTTCTGAGAAATATGCAACCTAAGACAGGTAAGATCTTTCTGAGAAATATTCAACTTAATGAATAATGGAATTTATGTACCAATGATGGGTAAGAATATATCTTTCAAGAGAGACAACCTAAGATAGGCACAATCTTCTGCCCCAGAGCTCTTAAGTTATGGTCAATTTAAAAAATATAAAAAAAGGGAGACCTGGGGAGAGCTCTTGTTTTCTCCGTGGCCTTCACCTGGAAGACTGGGATAGGCAGGATGTTTTGCCAAGTCCACTTCCTTTTGTTTGTGTGAGGATCACACAGATAAGTGGTGGGGGTAAACCATGAATCCCTTCTCCATGAACCCTGTCATTGTATTGAGGTGCTTTGCTCTGACCATAAAAAGGAACTGTGGAATAAATCATGTGTGACCGTTTCTACGAACTGATCTTGTGTATAGTGTGTTGTTTTTTTTTCGATCCTCACTCCCCACTCAGGAACTGTTCGACTCTGCCGTGGGGCTCTGGCACACGTGGACTTGCACCCACTCACACGTGCACATACACATGTGCAACAAAGTTGTTTTTGTGTGTGTGTGTGTGTGTGTGTGTGTTTTGTTTTTCATTTTAAAGCAACTTATGGTGGCACTGTGATGGCTAACAATGTTTTAAGTCAATTACGAAGCTTTAAGCTACTATACTTGAGAGAGCTCTGAAAAATTGCCTCTAGCTTGTGAAAGCACACCGTGTCCATCAGTTTTTCCAAGAACAGATGACTTCCCAGAATGTTAAGGGCTTTATTCTTGTAACTGTTTAGTCTTCTAAAATGTTACCAAAACCACTGTTCATGCAAGATAACTGTCACAGTGCTAACTGCTGCTTCTGTAAACAGCCAGCTTGCTAGCTTGCTCGCTTGTTTGCTTGCTTGCTTGCTTGCTTGCTTGCTTGCTTGCTTAAAATGACCAGGGCGTCTGCAAGTCCTCGGTTGCACATTAAGCCCTTGCTTGCATGTAGACAGGATTTGTGCTAACACAACCCCCAGAATGTAACCTTGTGGTTTTTGAATTTGTAAACCCCTGAATAAAGTGGCTGGGGACTACATCTTGAGAATCTCAGTCAGGTGTCATCCTAGTGTCAGTATCTGAATAAAGCCTCTTTGTTAAAAATACATTTGTGCCCAAGTGATGGTGGTGCTCTCTTTTAATCCCAGCACTTGGGGGGCAGAGGAAGGTGGATTTCTGTGAGTTCAAGGCCAGCCTGGTCTACAGAGTGAGCTCCAGGACGGACAAACCCCGTCTCAAAAAAAAAAACAATAAAATAAAATATTTGTGGCCTGTGGTGGTTTGAATAGGCACGGCCTCCATAAATTCACGGGTGTGAATGCTTGGCCATAGGGAGTGGCACTATCAGGACGTGTGGCCTTTTTGGAGGATGTATGTCACTGTGGGAGGGGGAGCTTTAAAGTTATATATGCTCAGACTCTGACCGGTGTGAAAGACAGTTTCCTCCTCGCTGCCTGCAGATCAAGATGGAGAACTCTCAGCTCCTTCTACCAAACCATGTCTGCCTGGATACTGCCATACTTCCCATCTGAAACTGTAAGCCCCAATTAAATGTTTTTTTCTTTATAAGAATTGCCTTGGTCATGGTGTTTCTTCACAGCAATAAAATTGTCACTAAGACATGGTTAGACTGGTGAATCACTAAATGATCCCAGACCCAATAAAGCACCTAGCTGTAATCCCAGCACTCTGGAGGGAGAGGAAGGCAGATCTCCGTGAATTTGAAGCCAGTATGACAATTTGAGTTTAATCCCCAAAACCTTATAATAGGGCTAGTAGAGAAGAGATTCCTGAAAGTTGTCTTCTGGCCTCAACATGAGCACCATGGGTGCACACCACCCCCAACATACATGGCATACACATGTTCAAGTATGTGCACGCACACACGCTAATAATAAATAAATAAATAAAATAAGTTTTGCTGGGACAGTGCACACCTGTAATCCCAGCACTTGGTGAGAGGTTTAATGACTCCAAAGCCTCCAAGAAATGCCCAGAAGGCCCCAACCTGTTTGGCTCTCTGAATCCATAGAAAAACAGTTTCTGACTAAAAACTGCAGCTTGCAGGCAGCCAATCAGCCTGAAGGTTAACACATGGGTTTGAGCTAAGTATAATGGTTTAGTAAACCTGAGGTTACCTCACTTCTCCTGGAAATCCCCCTAATTGCCTTTAAACTCAGCCTGCATCCTCACTTTGGAGCCCCATTCTAAGGAATGGTGGCCCCGGATGCTGGTAAATTTCTGCAAAATTAACACACCTTGCTTGTGCATACTGTTTGAGTCTGGGGTCTTTCTTTAGTGATTTTCAGACCCTAACATTGGAAGGTAGAGGCAGGTTGGTCTCTGAGTTCAAGGCCAATCTGGTCTACAAAGTGAGTCCAGAACAGCCAAGGCTACACACACACACACACAAACTGTAATATATATATATATATAGCAAGCCGAGTGTAGTGATGCTCTCCTTGAATAAAAAGGGTGCAATCAGGGAGGCAGAGGCAGATGGATCTCAGTGAGTTCAAGCCCAACCTACAAAGTGAGTCCAAGACAGCCAAGGCTACACAGAGAAATCCCGTCTCAAAAAAAAAAAAAAAAAAAAGAAGAAGAAAGAAAAAAACAGCCGGGTGGTTGTGGCACACACCTTTAAGCCCAATACCCAGAAGGCAGAGCAGGAAGATCTCTGTGAGTTTGAGCCAGCCTGGTCTACAGATCCAGTTCCAGAACATCCAGGGATACATAAAGAAACCCTGTCTTAAAGAAAGAAAAAAAGAAAGAGAGAAATAAAAGGAAAGAAAGAGAGGGGAAAAAAAACAAACAGCAAAGAAGTTTTAAAAGAGAAGTGAAGTTTTCAAGAAAATGGATGGAACTGGAAAACATTATATCAAGTGAAATACCTCAGGCTCAGAAAACAGGGCTGCATGTTCTCTCTCGTGAATGGGTCCTAGCTCCGAACTTTTATATATGTGCATTTGTACAGGAGTGAATGTGTGGAGAGCCCAGGATAGTGCACAGGGAAAAATTCTTTAAGGGGATGAATGGGGGGGGGGGGGGGTCGTCTAGTAGAATACATGTGATACAAAAGTGCAAAAGGTGGAAAGGTATAAACAGGAATAAATCAGGTAAATAGGAGAGAGGAAGTCAGGAAAAGGAGGGAGAAGATGTTCTGGTTAGTTGTTTGTTGTTGTTGTTATTTTTATCCACTTGACACAAGCCACAGTTATCTGGAAAAAAGATGTCCATTGAGAAAATCCCTAGAGGCAAGTCTGCAGGGCATTTTCTTCATTGATGTTCGAGGGCCCCCAATGATGTGTGATCCCAGCATTGTATCAGAAAGTTTACTGAGCACACCATAGGAAGGAAGTCAGTAAGCAGTGTTTTCCCAGGGCTTCCAAGCACAAGAAGCCTAGAAATAAGTTTTAAAAGAGAAATGAAGACTTAAAAGAGACTTAAGAAAAAGTGAAGACATAACAGAGAAAATGGAAACTTACATCAAAACTTAATTCAAGTACATGTCACTTCTTCCAAGAGGATAGGTATAGGCTACATGGATTATCTTCCTAGGGAAGGCTCTGGTGTGGTCTCAGTCATACAGATAGCATAGTGGTAATTTGGGCTATTGGCCACCTCTGGTCCTTGTTGTGGGAGCTTGGGGGAAGGCCTGGCTCTACAAATAATGCAAAGGAACCCTAGACTATTAGCCATCTCCAGCCCTGCTTGTGGTATGGCCTGGCCCTTCAAACAATGCAGATCAACAGGAAATTAATCACCTCCATTCCCAGCCTTCTGGGTGGAAAACAGGTTCTATAGCTTTTCCTCTAAAAAGACAACCCTGCTTACCATTCCTGGTTTCTGGTCGTTTGATTTGCATTTCCCTGATGGCTAATGAGGTTGGGCATTTCTTTAAGTGTTTCTCTGCCATTCGATATTCCTCTATCAAGAGTTCTCTGTTTAGCTCTGTTCCCCATTTTTTAATTGGAAGGAAGGAAGGAAGGAGGGAGGGAGGAAGGAAGGAAGCTGGGCATGGTGGCGCATGCGGTTAGTCCCAGCACTCAGGAGGCAGAGGCGAGAGAATCTCTGAGTTCAAGGCCAGCCTGGTCTACATAGTGAGTTCCAGGACAACCCCCCTCTATCTCTCTCAAAAACAAAAAAAATAATGGAAGTTATGTTCAAAGACAAGATTAAGTAAATTACTAAACTTATGTATATCTTTATTTTACTATTATGACTAGAAATCATCAAAATTACCTGCCCCTACACATTTTTGAGACAGGGTCATTACACTTCCTTCTTTCATCCCCTTCCTGCTAAGCCCTCTCACCAGCCACCCACTTATTTCTTTAGCTATACCTTCTGTCCCTACATTTTCATTCCTCTTTTTCTGAAGCTGTATTTACAACCTTGTTTTTTATATTCTAACTCAAAAGCTGTGTAACAATGAGCCCTTAAATCCCAGCCCTCGGGAGGCTGAGGCGGGAGCATCTCTGTGAATTCGAGACTGGCCTGGTCTGTGTAGCGAGTTCCCTGACAGCCAGAACTCCAGAGCGAGACCATGTTTCAAAAACAAAGCAAACAAACAAACAAACAAAAGGAAGCTAGAGGTGACCTCAAGAACAGCCTAAGAAAAAAATCCTCCTGTCCCACCTTGTCCACCTCCCCTGCTTAGGACAGGCCCCACCCCCCGCCCCCACCAAGAGGGCTGCGCTGCGCATGCTCAGCCGCAAAGGCCTCCGGGAGAGGGTCGGAGGCGGCGGGGCTGTTTGCACTGCAAAGCCAGGAGAGGATATTCCCGCCGTTGGGTGGAAGAGAAATTATCCAGCCCCGCGGAGCGGTTCGGCCCGGCTTTTCCGGAGAGAGGCGGCCTTCCTCCCGTCCCGAGGAGGGTGACGTGACAGGTGGGACGCCCACAGGTAGCCGTGACCCTGGCTTCCAGGGTTCCTGGCGCTCTGGCCTCTGCGGCGACCGAGCTTGGTGCGTTTGGTCTCTTTGCGGCTTCTTTGCTCTGTCTTCGGGTTACACCTGTGGCTCTCTTTCCATTAAGCAGCATTTTTTTTTTTTCCAAATTTAAAACAACCTGGGCGTGGTAGCGCTTCCTTTTAATCCCAGCGCTGGAGAGGCCGGGGAATCTCTGTGAGTTCGAAGCTAGCCGGGTCTATAGAGTGAGTTCTAGGCCAGCCGCTGTTGTATAACGAGACGTGGTTTGAGAAAACAAAAATACTGGGCTGGAAAGATGGCGGCAAGTAGTTGTATCTGTAGGGTTATGTGAGTGAAATTTGCAAGCCAATGCCGGTTGTGGTTTTCCAAGCCTTTAATCCTAGCGGGGAGGCAGAGGCAATTGGATTTCTTGGTATACAGGGCAAGTTCTAAGAAACGCGGGGCTACACAGAAACCGTGTTTCAAAAAACCAAGAAAGAAATTTGCAAGCCAGAACTCAAAAGGGATTGGTGCAAGCTTGTAATCACCCCAGTCAATACAAGCAATTTTAAGTATTTTAACCCAGATATCAGAAATGGCTATTTTGTGTTTCTGTTAGGTGTTACTGCTTTGGAGATACATAAATATTTAATACTTAATATATAATACAGTTAAGTATGGCTTGTCTTTTTATTTTTGTTTTCAGGAAGTAGCTTGCCATTTAGCTGGAACTAGGAAATCTTTCAATCTCAACCTCCCGAATGCTGGGATTATAGGCATGAACCACTGTACTCAACGGTTTTATTACCCCTTCTTTCTCACTGTTGTGTGACAGGACTTTATTTCCTGTGGGGATAGAACTCACTTCTATTCACATGAGATGAAGAGCTCAGAGAGCCCTGTAAGTAAACCTCACCCACTTCCTAAAGCTATTTTTGAGTTATTTACCTTTTAAGGAGCTTCCCTTTGGATGAAATATTTTAGTCTTTTTTGGTTTTGTGTATCCCTGGCTTTTTTGGCTTTGTGATCTCTGTAGATTCGGCTGGCCTCGAACTCACAGAGATCCACCTGCCTCTGACAACTGAGTGCTGAGATTAAAGGCTGTACCCTGCGGAATTATGTCAGTCTTGAAGAAACTGCTACAGAACACATGCCCACTTCTCCATTTAACTTTCAGTTTTGATCTTCTTCCAAAAGTGGCCCCCAGCTCGCTTGGTATCCACCTAAGTAGGCCCTTAGCTTTTGTGTTCTTCTTGCCTCCACACCCAGCTAGTCTCTACATCGCATCCACTTGCTCTACGTTCAATATACTGGACAGTTACCTTGCAGGTGTACAAATCTCTACTGGGGTTTTGGTCTACCACTTCAATTAGGGGAAACTGAGTTAGTTCTTGGGTCTTACAGTAAGCCTGTGACATCTTTCCATTTACTTAAAGCTTTCTTAATTCTCCTGACAAATGTTTTGACTTTAGTTTGGAAGACTTGAAATCTTCCATTTGGTTTATTTCTATTTTTGGTGTTTACTGCTTCCCCCAGTGTTGGGATCAAACACGGTGCTCTGCCGTTGAGCTGTACCCATTGCCTCTTATATTTGATGAGTGCTGTAATTCCAGCACTCTGGGAGGCAGATGCAAGTGGATCTCTGTGAGTTCAGGGCCAGCCTGGGCTTCAAAGCAAGTTCCAGGACAGTCAGGGCTATACAGAGAAACCCTGTCTTGAAAAACTAAAAGGAGGAGGAGACGGTTATATTTGTATTTTTTATTTCTAGTATAAAGAATAGTTTGGGGGTTTTGTTTTTCTGGAGCTAACAGTCAAACTCAGGGCTTCAGTCCCCAACCCCTAAAATTTTTAGATACTGACCTTGTTAAATTTATAGGCTCTTGGGGCTGGAGAGATGGTTCAGAGGTTCTGCACACTGGCTGCTCTTCCAAAGGTTCTGAGTTCAATTCCCAGTAACCACATGGTGGCTTACAACCTTCTATAATGAGATCTGGTGCCCTCTTCTGCCATGCAGGAAGAATAATATAAATAATAAATAATCTTTTTTAAAAATTTGTAGATTCTTTGGGGTTTTCTGTATATACACAATCATGAAATCTGTGAATAATGACAAATGTACATTAGTCTGTTTTCCAATATCTATCTCTATCTCTCTTTCTGTTTTTTTCCCCCAAGACATGGTTTTCTCTGTGTAGCCCTGGCTGTCCTAGAACTGGATCTGTATATCGAGCTGGCCTCCAACTCAGAGAGATCCACCTGCCTCTGCCTCCTGAGTGCTGGGGTTAAAGGTGTGCACCACCACTGCCCAGCAGTTTTGATTTTTTTTTTTAATCTATTTGACTAAAATCTCTAGTACAGAAATGAAATGGTAAGAGAGAAATTTTGTTTGTTTTAGGGTCTTAATTAGCTCAACTAACTTAGAACTCACTGCAGCTTTTGAATTACAACTTAAAAAACATGGTTGTAAATAACAGTTTCAGAAAAAGAGGAATGAGAAAGTAGGGATTGAGAGTATAGCTAAAGAAATAAGGGGATGGCTACTGAGATGGCTTAGCAGGAAGGGAATGAAAGAAGAAAATATAATGAACCTGTCTCAAAAAAGTGTAGGGGCTAGCTGGGTGTGGTGGTGCACACCTGTGATCCCAGCACTCTGGGAGGCAGGGGCAGGCAGACTTCTGTGAGTTTGAGGCCAGCCTGGTATATAAAGTGAGTACAGGACAGCCAAGGCTACACAGAAAAACCCTGTCTCTGCCTCCCTAGTGCTGGGTTTAAAGGCCTGCACCCCACCGCCCTGCTACTAACTTTTTTTTAAGCTGTGATTCAGCCAAATTTCTTTGTAATGTTTTACCTATGAAGAATACCTTCCATGATTCCAGTGGCTGTCGGAAACCAGGCACAGTACAAACCACGTAGGTTTCATTTAAAGGCAATTCCTTGTGACTTTGCTTTATGGAACTTGAATTGTCGGCATTTTAGCTCTTGTTCTTGTGGAATTTTTTTTTAATTTTAGGAATTTAGATTTTATGTATGTGGGTGTTTTGCCTGTGTGTATGTCTGAGCACTACATGTCTGGTACTCAGGATGGCTTGAGTAGGGTGTTAGAGCCTCTGGAATGAGTTATGGATGGTTGTGAGCCAACATGTAGGTGCTAGAAATTGAGCCCAGGGTCCTCTGGGAGAGCCTGCTCTGAACCGTTGAGCCATCTCTCCAGCCCCTCTTTGGGATCATTTTTAAATTAAAAAAAAAAAAAAGTTAATTAGTAAAAACATCATAATAGTCAATCAGATAACCCCTAGAAAGATGAAGTTTGGCACACAATTTAAAACTTAAGGATTGCTGGGAGGCAGAGGCATTGGGATCTCTCTGAGTTCCAGGACACCCAGAGCTTCAGTGAGAACCTTATTTCAAGGAAGGAAGGAGGCATTGTCATCTCTGAATTTTTCCAGTTCATACTTTTGGGCTGTGGTTCATTGTTGCTAACTCTAACCAATAATAAGAGATTACTGTATTTTTATTTGTTTTTGGTCTGGGGTGGGCAGTGTATTGAACCTGGGTGTTATGTAGCTCACAGTTACCTTGAACTCCTGATCTTCCTTCCTCTCACTTCCAAGTTCTCCTATTTTGGGGTTTATTTTTTGAGATGTAAGGAGACTTTGTATGAAAAAGAAAAGAGCCAGGTGATGGCTCAGAGGGTAAAGACTTCAAACCTCATAACCTGAGTTTGAGCCCCAGACCCTATATAAGGAGAGAATAAACTCCCATAGGTTGTCCTGGTATATGCATTGCTACTTTCCCCCAACAAATGAATAAATGCAATTAAAAGGAAAACAATTTTACATTTAGAACCTGGAAAAATGGCTTGGTGAATAAAGGTGTTTGCACACAAGCCCAAGATTAATGACCAGACTTAAGTAGTAGAAGCTGAGAACTAATGTTCCATGTGTCCTGAATACAGCCCCCAGGAGACACACACACAGACACAGAAATTAAATGTAATTGTTAAAACTTTTAGTTATCTGTGTGCGTGCAGCACGTGCCCGTGTGGGTTTCAGCACACCACATCGGTGTATGTAAGAGCCTGAGGAGGCCAGCAGAGGGCATTTCTCTTGGAGCTGGAGTTACAGGTGCTGGGAACTGAACCCAGGTCCTCTGTAAGAGCAATAGTGTGCCCTTCAACATTAAGCCGTCTCACTAGCCTGAAATGTTAAGTTTAAACATTTTTTTTTAAATTGGGAACTAATGGGTGAGAGGCAGAAACCACACCCAGCTCACCAGAACTTGATGTTTAGTCCAGTTATACAAATTTGTCTTGTCGTTTTCTGTTGGGCTGGCCGATTGCCTTGAGTATACTGTGTACATATTTTTAATTACCTGTTTTTGGAATGTTCAGCAACCCAAAATTCAAGAGAAAAAACACATTTTCAGACAGTGGCAATAGAATTAATCGTAACTTTCCTTGATCAATAAAATAGCCAGTGTAGTCTACTTTCTAAACTTGCCTTTGAATATTATGCTGTTGTGGGTTGGGTTACATCCGGGCGTAACCTCTGAAGGGAAAGGTGCACATACATGTAAAGGAAACACTGTGTTCTCCCTGTCCTGTTTCTAAAGCTCTGCAGTGGAGTGTCTTCTCTGGTGTCCCCTGGCATGGATAAAATGCTTCCCGCAGCCCCGGCCACGGCTGTTCAGCTTTCCTGTTGTGGCTGTAAAAGAGCTCTTCGGAAGGGACAGACAGCTTTTCAGAGGAAAGGGTCCACTGAGCTTTTCTGCTCACGACTGTGCATCGGTGACCTCGCGTCACCCGCCGTCGCAGCAGCTCCTGTCAAGAGGATGTGCTTAAACTGCTCCAGGTAGGTCACTTAACAGATGCCGGTGCCTTCTCCTTTGCTGCGTAGATCCCGGTCAGGGTGTTGGTTATCTGAAGATGGGAAACCTTGGTGACAAGAAAAGAATTTGCTTCTCTTTCCAGTTCTTTAAGATCACTCACAAGTAGGTTCGGTTGTTGAGGGGTTTTGCAGATACGTGCAAGGGCACAAATGCACTGAGAATTTCTTCCTTAGCATTTGTTTGTTTTGCTAAATAAATATGAGAGTTGCGAGTATTCAATCGTATGTTGTCTGCTCAGAACGTGGATATGGTACGTTACTTTTTTTTTTTTTTTTTCAGTCAGGCACTTACTCAAGATATTTTCTCTTGTTTGTTCCCAATTCCCTTGGAGTTTTGTTTTGTTTTGAGACAGGGTCTCACTGTGTAGCCTCTGGCTAGCCAGGAGAGCAGGCAGGACTTCAACTCACAGAGATCTCCTGCCTCTGCTTGCTTTCCAAGTCTGGAACTCTACAGGTGTGTGCCACCAGGCTACCCTACCCACACTTACTGAATAGGCCACAGGCCTTTGTAGGAGAGTGCTTCAGTTCCTGACTTGGCTGGCACTTCGATGTTGTCTTTTGTTTCAGGTCCGATTTTCTGGAACTCTGCTTAACTTTATCTTTGCTCTTGCTTTTCTTTTTCTTTTTTCAAAGGCTGTGTATTTTATTTCATGTGTGAGTGTTTACCTGTATGTCTGTGCATGCCTGGTTCCTACAGAGGCCAGAGGGATTTGATCTCTTGAAACTGGATTTACGGTTGTGAGCCACCCGTGTGGGTTTCTGGAAATTGAACCCAGGTCCTCTGCAAGAGCTCCCAGTGCTCTTGACTGCCGTGCCACCTTTCCAGCCCTCCTGTAGGCACTAGTTTTTCAAACACTACTTCACTTGGGGGCTCCTTATAGCTTATACCTCCCTTCCAACCCCCAACCTCGGGTAGGAGAAAAAGAAGGTTGTAAGGAATGGGGACATAGCCCTCTTTACTTCTTCCTGCTGGGTGGGGTCATAGGATTCTTTTGGGGGCAATACCAGTATCTGTCATCAGGAAATCCAGAGGGCCAGGTCACCAGCAAACACAGCAACAGGACGAACCAGCAGCAGGGAGTCCTCCTCCAAGCCACCATGCCCTCTTCCTCTGGGCTATCATATTTATTTATTACATATCTATCAGAAGAGGGCGCCAGATCTCATCATAGATGGTGTGAGCCACCATGCAGTTGCTGGGAATTGAACTCAGGACCTCTGAAAGAACAGCCAGTGCTCTTAACCACTGAGCCATCTCTCCAGCCTGGGCTATCATATTTATACCCCTCCAAGTCCTCAGAATTCAACTAATTCCAGCTGGCAAAGACCACGATCCACACAAGACAATTAACAGGACAAACTAAAATTCCCCACTTGGGACTAGAACAAAAACGTTTACATATCACAAACCAAAACGTCCACAGTTCTCTGTCTTTGCTTTTCTCTCCTACTATACTATGTCTAATGACAATTTTTCTCTTGGCTATAAGTTGTAGGTCACTCTCTTCAGCCTACTTTCTCTTTCTGCAGACTCATAAACTGGAAGGGACATTAGAGATCACCTGATGCAGACCTTTTCTTTTGGTTTTGAGGAAACTGAGTCCCTGCGAAGTTAAGGCCCTGTGTTGCTATGGTTAGCATATACACACCACATTACTAGCTTTGCTACATATCACAGGCGTTGAAAAAGACTCATTTGAGAAGGAATTTGCTGTGTAAGTTGTTTATTTAAGGTGTGACGATCAGGTATGAACAGAAATAGGAAACAACTTGGGCCTCCTCGGGAATATTTATTCATATATATGTATATATATTCACATACATAGATAGATGATAGATAGTTGTTAGAAATTGTGGATTGGTTGATGGTAGACATGCTTAGACTGGGAGAGACCATCAAGGTTCATAGTAATAACGTGTTTTTATGGAGACTTGTAAGATTTATTTGCACGTATGAATGTTTTTGCCTGCATGTGTGTGTACCACATGCCTGCCTGGTGCCTGGGAAAATCAGAATAAAACATTGGATCCTGGAGCTGTAGTTATGGGTAGTTGTGAACCAACATGTGGGTGCTGGGAACTGAGCCAGTTCCTGTGGAAGAGCAGCTGGGGTTCCTAACCACTGAGCCATCTCTGTAGTTCCTTAAATTTCACACTCCACAGCATCTTTTAGGTTTTTCCCGGTGGTTTCTCTGTGTAGCCCTGGCTGCTCTGGAATTCACTCTGTAGACCAGGCTGGCCTCAACTCACAGAGGTCGGCCTACCTCCTTAGTGCTGGGATTAAAAGCCTACGCCACTACACTCAGCTGAAGTCCCAACATTTTAAGTCATATTTAAGGTTTCTTTTTTTTTTTTAATCAATGATTTAGTATCTTTAATACTTATTTTTTTTTACTTAGTGAAACAAAATGAAGGATAACTTTGAAGATGACATTAAAAATATTGTTACAAAGAGGAGATTTGTTATTGAAAACTATTTAAGATATGTTTAAGAAGCATTATTTCCACACTGTAGTTTACAAACAAAAAGTTCTGAAGACAATCATCCCAGTCCAAAACAGGCCTATTCGATAATATTTAATGTATTTAAGGCCAGGTCACACCTGTGCTCAGTTATTTTTAACTAACTGTAAGAATCCTTCTAACGTGGTTAGATTTTTTTTTTCTTTTTTTAATTTTAAACTTTATTATATTAGAAACAATCACTTGGCTGGAGAGACAACTCAGTAGTTAAGAGCACTGGCTGCTCCTCCAGAGGTTGAGTTCAATTCCCAGCAACTACATGGTGGCTCATAACTGTCTATGATGAGATCTGGTGCCCTCTTCTGGTGTACATGCAGGGAGAAAATTATATAAATAATATATAGTTATATATTATTTATTATATATATTATATATATAATAGATAAATAAATATTTTTTAAGCTTTCAAGTATTAAGACTTGATCCAGCTAGAGATGGCTAATTCAGATTTTCTAAAATTTTTAATTTTTATCTAAATTTTTCTAAAATTTCTAATTTCTACTATTTTATTTATACTATGAGATGTTTTTCTCAAAATAGCAGCCTTTCTTCCTTTTCCAGAAAATATCTAAGTTCCGTAGACAGTAGTTTAGCATGTATTCAAATGATGATTCATGAAAAAGATGGCTGTGGTTGTAACTCAGATCTCCTTTATAGACTTTGTCTTAAGATAGTAATCAACCTGATAGACAGGACCAGTACTTTAAGCCTGTGTCCCTCTTTATCACTGTGCTGGTTAGGTTTCTGTCACCTTGACAGGAATGAGAAGGAACCACAGTTGAGAATATGCCTCCAACAGATTGACCTGTAGACAAGGGCATTTTCCTGACTGATGTAGAGGCCGATCCACCTGTGGAGGGTGCTACCCTTGGGCAAGTGGTCCAGTGTTGTCTCAGACAGCAGGTTAGAGCTGGACAGCAAGCCGGGAAGCAGCAAGCCTGTGGTCTCCTTCAGTTGGTGCCCTTACTTCCTTCAGTGCTGGATTATGACCTGGGAGTTGTAAGGCAGGATAAACGCCTTCCTCCGTGAGTTGCTTTTGGTCACGGTCTTTATCCTAGCAGTAGAAGCAAACTAGGATGGTCATGTGGAATATTTCTTTTCAGATTTATTTGGCGGGGGGGGGGGGGTTGCCTGCTTATATGTCTGTGTACCAAAGTATGCATTGCCCTTGGAGTGCAGAAGAGGGCACCAGAGCCCCTGAAACAGGAATTACAGACAGTTCTGAGCTGCCATGTGGGTGCTAGGGATTATCAAGGTTCGAATTAAAATAACTTGAAAACGTTTTATTAACAACATCCTCAATTTCAGAAACGTAATTGGCTTGTTTTGTTTTACAGTAAATGCATGGCAGAAGGATCCCAAGAGCTCACTGCCCAACCACTGTAGCCCAGTGACTCTGGCTCCCAATTCAGTGAAAGACTGGGTCAGGACAATACAGAGAGCAAGAGGGAAGATACCCAACATCCTGCTCTGGGCCCCTCATGTGCGCACGCGCGCGCACACACACACACTCATACACACTCATCAGTTACTTTATATATTTATTGTTCTGTTAACAAGCATTTGTTGTTTGTTTTTAGAGACATTTTAAATCTGAAGGATATGAAGAGTGTCCCATTGGAGGATAGTAGCTGTAACAAAAACTTTTGTAGCCAATCTTGTCTTTCATCATATGAAGAGAAAAGGAAGCCATGTGTTACTGTGTGTTCTGACAGCACTTTAAAGTGCTGCGTGTGTCAGAAGACATCTGCTGTAAGTCTCAGTCATGTTTAACCCTTAGGAGAATTCTGGTGATTCTGCTTAAATGCCTTTTGTTACTGTTTCCGTCTTTGCAGTAATGCTGACTTCTCAGATTTTCTTTCTGCTGACAAGTTTCACTGGGAATTAGTCTAAGACCTGTGATCTGTAATCTGCCTCACATACTTCAGGTGAAGCACGGGGTCCTCACGTCAATAGTGCAGAGAATGCTAGCTCAGAGAAACCGGTGAGCAGAAAGAACTGCTGTCCCATCAGCTAGTCTGTGAATGTGTTTGCTATCATTGGGGGAATCTTTGATTGATAGTTGATGAGGATGAGAAAGACCTTTGGGTACTTCTGAGAACACCTATGTCTTGGTGGACTGCGATGAACACAATTACTGGTTTGATCCCTTTTTATAAAGTCAGACTAGTATATATCTTGATTGTTACATGATGCCTTGTGATCTAGTAATACATAATCCCAATATATGAGACAGGGCTAGGTGGAGCTTCGATTTTCAAGCCAGCCTGGCCTACTTACCAAGTTCTAAGCCAGTCAGGACTACATACATAGTGAAACCCTATCTTATAAAAAGAAAAGAGGGCCTGGAGAGATGGCTCAACGGTTAAGAGCCTTGTCTGCTCTTCCAAAGGTCATGAGTTCAATTCTCGACAACCACATGGTGGCTCACAACAATCTAAAATGTGAACTGATTCCCTCTTCTGGCAGTTGTAAATGCAGATAGAACACTCATACATAAAATAAATAAATCTTCTAAAAGAAAAGAAAGAGGGCTGGAGAGATGGCTGATTTTCCAGAGGATGTGGGTTCAAACCCCAGCACCACACACATGGCAGTTCACAACTGTAACTCCAAGATCTGACACACTTACATAGACATACAGGCAGGCAAAACACATAAGGTCAAGATAAGTAAAATTTTAAAAAAGGAAGATGAAAAGGCAGAAGGAGAGCTGTATGTGGTGGTGCACACTTTTAATCCCAGCTCTCAGGAAGCAGCGGCAGATGGATCTCTGAGTTTGAAGCCTGCCTGGACAACAAAGAGAGTTCCAGGACAGCCGGGGCTGTTATACAGAGAAACCCTGCCTCAGAGAACAAAACAACAACAAAAAGCAGAAGGAATTAAACCCATGTGCGGCATTCTCATTCTAGTCATGGTAGGGAAACAGTCCATGGATAGGCAACTGATCAATAGGAATATGATCCTTATTGTCTTTAGAAGGGGATTTTTTCTATATAGAGTAAGGCTGCTAGGAACAACAACAACAAAAACAAAACAGGTTACACTTCAAGGGAATGCTAAACCTACCTCCCAGTACTATTAAGAATATGAAACTTAGCGGGAGGTGGTGGTGCACCCCTTTAATCCCAGCACTTTGGGGGCAAAGGCAGCCAGAGCTCCTAGTTCAAGGCCAGCCTGGTCTACAGAGCAAGTTCCAGGACAGCCAGGAATACACAGAGAAACCTGATTTTGAAAACAAAAACAAATTTATTTATTATGTATGATAATATACATATATATCATGTACATGCAACTCATACTGAATACACCAAAATATCAGGAAACAGATCTCCAGGCTCCTTTAGTAGGCACAGTTGAGTGTGCCTTCATCCTGATGACATTGTCAGTGAAGCTGGTGCCATCAGGGTTTCTTGATCTGTTGGACTGCTGCCTACAGAATGCCTCTGTGAGAGCTGGAGGTATAGCTCAGTGGCAGAGCTTTTCATTAGCATGATTAAGACCTTGTGTTCATCCCCTAGCACACAAAAAAAGAAGGGGTCCTTCTGTCTGGAAGGAGGAATTTCAGGAGCATTTTATGTTTTAATAACAGGATGAGGAGCCAAGTGTAATGGCTGCCTATGATTACAGCAGTCTGGAGGCAGAGTTAGCAGATCTCAGAATTGGAGTCAGCCTGATCTATGTAACCAGGTTCCAGACCAGCCAGAGCTACTTGTCTCAAAGAAAAAGATATACATGTTAATAAAAGAATAAAATGAAAATCATCCTCTGCTTTCCCCTTCCCCGTTTTTTTCTTCTTTATTTCTATTTCTTTGTTGTTGTTTTAAAAGATTTATTTATTTATTTTATGTATGTGGGTGCTCTGTTTTCATGCGCACCGGAAGAGGGAATCAGAGCCAATTACAGATGGTTGTGAGCTGGGAATTAAACTCAGGACCTCTGGAAGAGCAGCTGGTGCTCTTAAAGGCTGAGCCAACCCTGCATCCATTTTTTTTTTTTTTTTAATGTATTTACTAGGTATACAATGTTATGCCTGCACACCAGAAGAGGGCATCAGATCTCATTATAGGTGATTGTGAGTCACTATGTGGTTGCTGGGAATTGAACTCAGGACCTCTGGAAGAGCAGCCAGTGCTTTTAACCTCTGAGCCATCTCTCCAGTACCCTCCCTGACCCCCCCCCCAACACCCCAGTTTTTCCTGGTAGGGTTTCTCTATGTATCCTTGGCTGGCCTAGAGCTGGCTCTGTAAACCAGGCTAGCCTGAAGCTCAAGAAATATGCCTGCCTTTGCTCCCCTAGTGCTAGAATTAAAAGTATGTGCCACCACAACTTTTTTTTTTCTTCTTGGTTGTTTTGGTTTTGTTTCTTTTTATTTTTAATTTAATTTTTGGTGTTTTGAGACAAGGTTTCTCTGTGTAGCCCAGACTGGCCTGGAACTCACAGAGATCTGCATGCCTCTGCCTCCCAAGTGCTGGGATTAAGGCATGAGTTACTGCACCTGGCTTTGGTCTTTCTTTTTAAAGATTAGTTTATTTAGGAGCTAGAGAGATAACTCAGGACTTACTATCCAGAGGACCCAGTTCAGTTCCTAGTACCTACATGGTGCTTATAGCCACCTGGAACCCTGCGACCCCTTCTTCATTGCGTATGCATTATTACTATTATTGTTGCTGTGAAATGATCGGATAATTTTCAGATAAACTTGTCAAATTGTCTCATTTTGTTGTTGCAGCCTATACTCTCTTCTAGTGTTGAAGGAAGTATCGAAATTTGTTATTGTTTGTAATATTTTAGCTAAAAGCAGTTTCAGTAGGTATGCTGAGTGTTTTTAGCATTGCATGTGATATACCAGAAAAATGAATATTATTTTTAATCTCTAAACAGAAACCACCCAGAATACTTAGATCTTTTCCTTGCAAATCACTGAAACTGTCAGATGAGATGATTGTGATTACTAATGACTTGGGGAGCATAGAGGTTCTCTGCTCTGTTTGTTTTTCTTCATACAACAGTGCTGTCATGGAATCTTCTCCAGGTAATCCCCACCAGCCTCAAAGTTGTACCAAGTACTGGGATATGACTGCACTTTGCTTTTAGTTTGTAACTTTGATTAATTTCCACGTTAAAGTAACTTAGAGTCCCAAACGAGTGCTGGAGGATGGCTTAGCAGTTAAGAATGCTTGCTGCTCAATCATGAAGACCCAAGTTCAGGTCCTAGCACCCTTGTAACAGCATTACCTCACAAATAAAATAGTCTTTATTTTAAAACACTGGAACAGACTGTTAATGTAGCTCATTGTCTGAGTGCTTGCCCAGCTTGCATGAAGCCCTGGGTCCGATGCCCACTGTGGCTTAGGCCAGGTGTGATGGTGCACTTGGAGTACGTGGAGGGCAAGCACTCTCCTGCAGCCTTCAGCACAAAACCATTTACCACTGAACAGTACTTGCTGCTGGATTAACAAGGATTTTTGTTTATTTTTGTCAGTTAATGTTTCCATGGTGCACAGTGCTTCAAAAGAGAATCTTTGTCCAAAGAAATATCCAATTCCTGTTATAAGCAATATAATGTCATTTGTAAATGATCATGTTGACCTGCTCGTGAACACTGATCTCTTACAAGGTAAACAGACATTTGACATAAACAGTGTCTTGTCATACTGTTGAATCTGACTGTCTGTCTGTCTGTTTTCTGATACGAAATAAGCTATGTGAACTTATGGCACTGTTGAAGTATGAGGTCCTGAATATGTGCTTTATTTCAACAGGTACACTTTCTTCCGGACCTACAAATGGTATTATAGATGTAAGTTTTATCCTAATTTTTTCAATTTTAAACAGATTTCATTTGTGTGTGTGTTTTCATTCATAGCTATGGTTTTATAAACATATATATGCTATAAAGCATTGTGGCGGGAGAGATGGCTCAGCAGTTAGGCATTCTGGCTTCTCTTTCAGAGGACCTGGGTTCAATTCCCAGCTTCGTGGCAGCTCAGAATGACCTGAAACTCCAGGTCCAGGGGATCCGAGAAGCCGTCTATTGGCCTCTGCAGGCAGTGGACACACAAGTGATATACAGGCATACATGTAGGCAAAATACCCATGAACAATTAAAAAAAATTTTAATCAAATTTAATTTTAAAGTAGTATTATATTTTGCTCTGAGGTTTGCTTGTCTTCTTTTAAGGCAAGATCTCACTTTGTAACAATGGCTGGCCTTAAATTCACAGAGATTCTCCTACTTCTATCTCTTAGAGTGTTGGGGATTAAAGGTGGGTGCCACCATGCCCAGCCTCTTTTTTGATTTCTTTTGTTTTTCGAGATAGGGTTTCTCTCTGTAGCCTTAGCTGTCCTGGACTGGACTGACCTTGAACTCTCAGAGGTCTGCCTGCCTCTGCCTCCCAAGGACTGGGACTAAAGGCATGAAACACCACTAACCAGCATCATGCCCAGCTTCTTTTCGAATGAATAATTCTAGTTATCTGAGTAATAGAAATTATTTTTCTGTAGTTACACACCTAGAACAGCTTTAAACATTTAATGCTGAATCTAGATGGGAAATAATAATTGTTAGTGCTGCTCAAGGAGAGTCTTACACTATAACTTGTCCATTTTACTGTGCAATAGATGTGTTTCGATTTTTTTAATTACTTGAAAACTGCTAAACCAAGTATTATTTTATCATTTTTTTGTCTAAGAGCTCACGCAGTGAATCCAGTAGTGATGTTGGCAGCAGTATGGAGCAGCCACGCCTCCTCCCATCCTCATCAGGGCTCTTTGAGGACACCGCTGGCCGCAGTGGGGAAGTACAGAACGACAGAGAGGCAAGCCAGGATTCTACGTACAACCTGGAATCTGTGAAAGTAAATGATAGACCGTGTTATTCAAAGTCCACAGCCACAATACAAAACGTTCAAAAAGAGCCACAAAATAGTAGAAAATCTTGGCGCCCAGGTTTTCAGCCTATGAACACCAATACTAAGAATGATGTTGCATTCTGCTATTCTTGCCACTTGTTCTACCAGAAAAGTTTTAGCTGCCAGAGACAAACTTTTGCAAAAGGAACTACTGACTGGGAGAAAATGCTGGAAAAATTCAGAAAGCATGAAGAGAGTGAAATGCATTTAAAGTCATTGCAATTTTGGAAGCAATACCAGTTTCTTGACGATCCACATGATGATTCATCAGGTCTTTCAAAACATACTGAAGGAAATAAAAAGTACCTAAAGCTCATCATTGAAAACATTTTATTTCTTGGAAAACAATGTTTGCTCTTAAAAGGAAATGACCAGTCTATTTCATCCATTAATAAAGGCAATTTTTTGGAATTACTAGAAATCAGAGCAAGAGATAAAGGAGAAGAAGTGTTTCGGCTTATGAGTTCACACATTGACTTCTATAGTAGTTCAGAAGTCCAGGGGGAGATTATTGAAATAATAAAGGCTGAAATGTTACAGGACATTGTGAGTGAGATCAATATCTCCTCAGCTTTTTCAATAATATGTGAGGAGATAACTGATGGTGCCACAAAGAGACAGCTTTCCGTGTGTGTGAGGTACCCACAAAAAACACCACGTGCTGTCTTTGTTAAAGAAAGGTTTCTGGGGTTTGTCACTATTGAGGAGATGGCAGGGGCCCATGTACACAGGCATATCAAAGCTTACCTGCAGCAGGTTGGAGTTGATTTTAATAAAATATGTGGCCAAGCCTACGATAGTGCCACAAATTTGAGGATAAAGTTTAATGAAGTTGTAACAGAATTCAAGAAGGAAGAACCAAGAGCTTTGTATGTACACTGTTACGCACATTTTTTTGAATTAGCAGTAATTAGTTTTTGTAAAGAAATAAAAGAACTCCGAAGTACACTAACTACGCTCAGTTCTTTCTTCAACACTGTTCGTGTGTCTGGAGAAATGTTGGCAAGTTTGCAAACCATGTGTAAGCTAAGTCAAAATAAAACTTGTGAAAGACATACCTCACAGTCATGTTGGACAGCCCATGATCATTTGTTACTGTCTGTGACTGACTGCCTTCCCGAGATTATTGAAACACTGGCGTCTGCAGCGCGCCAGGCCTCAGGCACAGCTGTGGCCGATGAACTCAGTGATTTGTTGGTGATGGTTACCAAGTTTGAATTTATATTTTGTTTGAAATTTCTTTATCGAGTGCTCAGTATTGCAGGAATTCTTTCAAGAGAGTTTCAAAGTGAAACTGTTGATATCTTTTCTTTGTTTTCAAAAATAGAAGCAATTTTGGAATGTTTGTCTTCTGAAAGAAATGATACATATTTCAAAACTATATGGGATGGAGCAGATGAAATATGTAAAAAAATAACCAGCAAGGGTTTTGATGTTGAAAAACCCTTTTTTCAAAGAAGAAAAATTCAGAAGACGGTAGATCCTGGCAACTCAGAGCATGTGTTCTTTCTTACTTCAGCAGATGAACATTATAAAAATAATATTTATTACCAAGGTTTGGATACTATATTAAAAAATTTAAAGTTATATTTTTCAGAGTTTGATTATTGCAAAATGAAACAAATTTCAGAGTTGTTATTTAAGTGGAATGAACCATTAAATGAAGCAACAGCCAAACATATCCAGGAATTCTATCGGCTTGGTGCAGACATTATCCCTGAGCTCAGATTTTACCGGCAGTACGCAAGTCTCAATTTTGTCACTGAGTGTGGTCCCTTAAGTCTCTCTGACCTTGGCTGTTTGTTTATTCAGCATGGTCTCCACAATAACATTCCCTGTATGTCAAAACTGCTACATACTGCTCTATCTTGGCCAATTACTCCAGCAAATAGTGAGAAGTCATTTTCCACACTGCCTCATCTTCGAACATACTTACTCCGCACCAAGGGACAAGAGAAGCTGAGCAGCCTGGCCCTGATGGCTGTCGAGCAGGAGCTGGTCAATAAATTGATGGAGCCTGAGAGACTCAGTGGACTCGTCGAAAAGTTTATCAGTCAAATGAAAGAGCCATAAGACTTAAAACTTTGCACCTAATTAAAAGAATTCTGTGGTTCTATTGGAATCCTGGTACAGTTTTGCTTTTTAGTTCTTTTGAGATAGGGTCTTACTATGTAGCCTAAGCTAGTCTTGAATTTGTAAGCACTATGAGTAACCAACCCTCTTACCTTCTGTCTTTTAAACTATGACACACTGTGTTGGGCACATGTACAGTTAACACATTTACTGAGCAAGTAGTACATACCAGACAGTATTTTAAGTGCTGGAGATCCAGCAGAGAATTAGAGGAGTCTGGAGTCCAAAGGAATGTAGAAATCCAGTTAGAAGTCAGACTTAGCAGCCACACTCCTGGAATCTCACCATGCTGTTTCCCCAGGACTGTAACTCAGTTGTAACACACTTGCTTAGCATGCAGAAGGAAGTCCTGTAATATCATCATGACTGACTGCTAAGGATTATTTCCATTTTTATTTAAAAACCACTGCTGGGAAGCTAGTAAATCTACAGGAGCAAAGGATTAGAGGCCTAACTGGAATAAGACCCTGGCACCAGCAGAGATACGGAGTGGCTGTGAGTTTAACGTTTGAAAAACAGAGTGTGAACTAGGTAGTAATCGCCCTTAACATCTACGGTAGCTCATTCCAGGAGGAGAGAGAGTAGGGATGTAGGGAGAACTTTAGCAAAAGCCAGATTCAGCTTTGATTCTCTCACCCACCTGCTTCATTTGAGGAAGTTTAAGCAGGTAGCACCTGACCTTCATTCAGGAGCAGGAAACTCCATATTTTCAGATCTGGGCTGTCCAGAGCTTCCGCTGAATTCTGGGCCCCCAGTAGTCACATGGTCAGTCCTGCTATCTTAATTCAATCCCCAGGAAAAGCTGAAAGCCAGAGCAGAGGGAGCCCAGCCCCCATGCCTTTGAGGCAGTTGATGGAAGAGGGCCCCTTGAGTTTCTGTGATATAGAAGGGATCTGGGAGAGGTGGTGTTTCCTCGGCCGGATACAGAGCAGAGCTTCCCAGACTGGAACCAATTCCATGGGAGCTACAAGACCCTAGAATTGTCCTGTGATCCGTCTCAGTTTCCCTTAGATCTCAGCCACTGAACTGCACCTGCCCTGGCAAGTGCGTCTCCAGCCTCCGTGTCCTCAGGGTGGACATGTGGTGGACAAAGCCTGTCAGTTCAAGTCATGGTCTGGTTACTCCCATCTTCATCGACTGCACTGTCTCTGTTACACCACAGCCCAGTTTGTGCCAGAATTTGCTTGTCTCTCCTGTCATCTCTGCCAGAGATCGCTTGCTGTTACTAACCATCCAATCCTCGAGAAAAATCCTAGAGATCCTTAACTGTACAGCAAAGGCCAGCATCTCAGACTGGGACCAGCAAAAGCATAGGCAGGCAAACATAAGGCTGGCTGTCTTGCAGCGTGGGGTCCTGTGGCTCTCCGGCATGCAAGAAGGGTCTCTAGCACTTGGGTTGTAGGAAGGACTGGTAGTTGGCATAGTGGGGAAGTTAAGGGTAGACCAGCACAGCTAGGCCATCATGTACATCTCTCAAACTAGCCAAAGCACTTTCTCTAGTCCTACTAAGAGAAAACACCTTTAATCCCATCACTTAGGGAGGCAGAGGCATGGAGATCTCTAAGTTCGAGGCCAGCCTGGTCTAAAAAGTGAGTTGAGGACAGACAAGGCTACACAGAAAAACCTGTCTCAAAACATACACGCACAAAAAAGCCACTTCCCACTTAAAGCCTTTTTTAGGATACATGTTGTAGAAGTGGACGTAGGGATTGCGGTTTTGTACTTCTTAAGCTTTAATTAGGCCCTAGGCATACTTTCACATTACCACCAGCATATCTGCCTTTTGTCTTAACATTGTTCAACTGTTGTTAACTATCAGTCTGCTTCTGAGTGCATTAAGAGCTGCTTGTTGGGAATAAAAGGGAATTGACCTTACATTGGATGATGATTTCATGTTTTGTTTTGTTTTTTTTAATCCTTTGGGGTTTTAAAAATTATTTATACTGTATTCTGCCTGCGTGTGTGCCTGCAGGCCAGAAGAGGGCACCAGATCTCATAAATGGTTATGAGCCACCATGTGATTGCTGGGAACTGAACTCAGGACTTTTTGGAAGAACATCCAGTGCTCCTAATGTCCTTAAAGCCATGAACTTACCTGAAGTCAGTTTCCTCTTCCACATGTAGTTTCTAGTTTGGGTTGTTTAGTTTCCAACTTCTCAGAGAGTCAAGGTTGATGGATTCTTTTTTTCCAGGTACTTGGTTGATTCTGCTTTCTGGAAAGTAGAACAGGTATTGTGACATTCTAAGAACAGCCTCACAAACCACTCCCCAGACACTGCTATCAGTCAGATACAGATGGTTTGTTGAATGCAACACCCCAAGACTGTGATGACCAGGGACACAGGAGCTTGGGAGCCTAACAGTGATGTTGACTTGTTTTCACAGCAGGGTTTTTATTTTTTTTAAAGATTGATTGATTTATTGTATATTAGTGCTTTATCGGCATGTACACCTGCACGCCAGAAGAGGGCATCAGATTGTAGTATAGATGGTTGTGAGCCGCTATGTGGTTGCTGGGAATTGACTTCTGAAAGAGCAAACGGTGCTCTTAACCGCTGAGCCATCTTTCCAGCCCCTCACAGCAGGGTTTTATAGAAAGAATCAACTGCAAAAGACATGGGAAGGGGAGTAACACTTTTTGGTTAACTCAACGAAAGAATATTACATTTTTGGCTAATTAGACAGTATTATCAGCTAACCTTAAAGCTGATTGGTCCTAAGTGAGGAAGGGCTTAGTGTCTTCTAGAGTACATCCAAAGTCTATATAAGGGTGCAACTAGAGTTTGGCCAAGTATGAAGATAACAAAGTATGAATTACAAGTAAAATATGAGGTCAGCTTCACCCTCTGAGAGGGAATGTTAGTGTCCGCCATGAATAACTACTTCTAGGAAGCAGAGTTGAAAAGTTTAAATTTTGAACATAATTTCAAAATGGAAGCTGAATACAAGGATGGCTACAGCTATGTCAAAGAGCAGGCTTCAGCAGTATCTTTCTCAAGTACCTATTGTAGTGGAAGTTTTGGTTTCTTTGTAAACTCAGTTATGTAATATGTTTTTGTTTTAATCCCAAGTGTGGGCTTTTAGTTGGGCTATAGTTTGTCCACACTATACTCGGTTCTAATTGGTTAATTCTTAAATCCTGATAGACAGATAGTCCCCAGCTTATAATAGTTTGGCTTAACAGTTTTCAACTTTAAGATAATAAAAAAGGGTGGGGAGATGGCTCAGTAGTTGAAAACTTTTTCACTTATACAGAGGACCTGGATTTGATTCCCAGCCCTGACATCAAAGCTAACGCTATCTGAACTCCAGTTGCAGAGGACCTAAAACCCAACCCTCTTCTGGCCTCCAGTAGTACTGCATGCACATGGTAAGTAGATCTTGGGAAAGGGGGGAGAGAACTGAGTGTGACGTCACACGCCTATAATCCCAGCACTTGGGAGGCAGAGGCAGGAGGTCTGCAAAGCAAGTTCTGGGACAGCCAGGGCTAAACAGAAACCCTGTAGCTCAGAGGTGGAGTGCTTAACTGGTGTGGTCAAGAAGTTTGGTATAAGGTGGAGCGTCACAAGAGAAAACAAACATGACAAACAGGAGAAACCATACTTTTGAATTTTGAGATTCGGCACTTTCCTAGGCCCCCACGGTAGAGTTCTTTCATTATGCTGTCATTATGCTGGGCAGCAGTACCAAAAGCTCCCGGTCGGCCACCAGGCTCAGATTCTCAACAAGTACACTCAACATGGTGCCCTGTGTTGGCTAAGCTATGCTCTTCTCAGCTCAGAATGATCTCCATTTCTGGTGTGTTGATTTATTGGGATATTAACCCTGAACTAAGGGGCATCTGTATTCAAACTTAGGAAACTGTGAATGTACCTGAATTAACCACGAACTTAATTGTAGAAACTAGTTTTAGGCTCTTTTTTTTTTTTTTTTTTTGTGGGGGGGTGGGTAGGAAAAGTTGTCTCACTATGTAGACCAGGCTGGCTTTGAACTCACAGAGATCCATGTGTCTCTGCCATCTGGAGTGCTGAGATTAAAGTCATGCACTACCTTTCTTGGACTTTAAAATTATTTTTGGATTTGGCTTGGAGGGTAAAGCTGTAGCTCTCACATGGAAATCAGAGGACAATTATCAAGAGCCTTTGTCTCCACCATGTAAGCTCCAGGGATCAAACTCAGGTCATCAGCAAGATTCTTTGTCCACTGAGCCATCTCTAAGGGGCCTGCATTTATACTTTTTATTCCTAAAGTGAAGATAAGGCAAGAACTTAGCTGGGGACAGAGCTCACTTAGCATGCACAGAGCACACAATCGGGCCCCAGAACTGCAAAATTAAAGACAAGAAAAAAGAAAAAGGAACCCACTCATAAGGTTATAAGGATTAAATAGATTAATTCATGAAAAGTGTTTACTGAACTATTTTCTCACAACATATATGTTGCCTCATCTTTGCACTAGCTTTATTTTTCTTTTGAGACAAGGGTGTTTTTTTTGTTGTTGTTTTTTGTTTTGTTTTAAAGATTTATTGATTATGTGTACAGTGTTCTGCCTGCATGTTTGCCTGCAAGCCAGAAGAGGGCACCAGATCTCATTATAGATGGTCATGAGCCACTATGTGGTTGCTGGGAATTGAACTTGGGACCTTTGGAAGAACAGCCAGTGTTCTTAACCTCTGAGCCATCTCTCCAGCCCCTGTTTTTGTTTTGTTTTGTTTTGTTTTGTTTTTTTATGTAGCCTTGGCTGTCTTTTTTTTTTTTCTAATGTATACAATTTTCTGCCTGCATGTACACCTACACACTAGAAGAGGACATCTCATCATAGATGGTTGTGAGCCACAATGTGGGTGCTGGGAATTTAACTCAGGACCTCTGGAAGAGCAGCCAGTGCTCTTAACCTCTGAGCCATCTCTCCAACCCTAGCCTTGGCTCTCTTGGACTCACTTTGTAGACTAGGCTGGCCTCAAATTCAGATAGATCAGCCAACTTCTGCCTCCCAGGGTGCTGGGATTATAGGCATGTACCATTGTGCCCAACTCTCTTCACTAGCTTTTAAAGTATTAGCAAAAAGTCTTCAGAGGAAAGTAAGTTTCCTGGGTTCTGTTTTGTTTTTGCTTTCTTGCTTTAAAGCATTTACAGCTTTACTCATACCTGGCAAAGCAATCGGGTAGATTTTCCATGTTTCATCCTTGGAGATTCTAAGTAGTCTGGGGCAAAGATTATGAAACTAGTTTTTAAATTTCCATAGGTGATTTTGATAGAGTCAACTTTGGGAACCAACTACGTTACTGAACAACTTTCAAAACAGTTGTACCCTCTTGAGAGTGTATGGTTCTAGCCTGAACAAGGGATACAACATATCCTGTGAGAAACCGGGATGTAATAACTGGATGGCTGACAACTGGTTTGCTCCAGCCACATGCTGAGAGCAGCTTCTTGAGAGACCAAGCTCAAGTACTGTCTCTGCCAAATCAAATGTATAGAAAAACCAAAAGAAAGGAGGACGAAAGAAGTGAGAATGATAGCAAGGTTGTCTCAGCAAATCTCATAGGATCATCATTCATGGTGGTTTGAATAGGTTTGGGCCCTACAGACTCATGTGGTTGAATGCTTGGCCCACAGCGAGTGGCATAGGAGCTGTGGCCTTGTTGGAGAAAGTGTGTCACTGTCTGGGTGGACTTTGAGGTTTCCTTTTCTCATACTCTGCCTAGTTTGGAATGAGAGCCTCTCCCTGGCTGCCAGTGGAAGACAGTCTCCGCCTGGCTGCCTTTGGATCAAGATGTAGAATTCTTGGCTCCTCCATCACCGTATCTGTCTGGATGCTGCCATGCTTCCCACCATGACAGTAATGAACTAAACCTCTGAAACTGTAAGCCAGCCCCAATTAGATGTTTTTCTTTATAAGAGTTGGCTTGCGGCTGGAGAGATGGCTTAGAGGTTAAGAACGCTCACTGTTCTTCCAAACGTCCTGAGTTCAATTCCCAGCAACCACATGGTGGCTCATAACCATCTATAGTAAGATCTGGTGTGCCAGCAAAATGTTGTATAAATAATAAATAAATCTTAAAAAAAAACAAGAGTTGCCTCGGTCATGGTGTCTCTTCAAAGCAATGGATACCCTAGCTAAGACATTATTGAATCTAGGATAAACATAAGAATTAATAATTTCCTAGAAGTGCTTTGATCTGGATGAAATCTTTGTAGAAGAGAGTGATTGTTTTCTGCTATATAGAGAGTTGTTTTTCTGAAGGAGGTTTACAGCCTTTTCGTGACTTTGGTCATAAGATGGTCCTGGCACACCTGGCATGTCTTACATTATTGAGTACTGCAAACAGTACACAATAAGGACTAAAGCTGCAGAGATGTGATGTTTTCCTTCAGGAAACATTTAGGTGAGGGGTTTTGATTTGAGGAACTTAGTTTACCCAAAAAGCTTTTGTGTAACAATCAATAGATATGCTTTTACCTGGCTGTTTGACATTCAGTTCGCAGGGGCTGGATCTCCCTGCTGCCAGCAAGGTCTTAGTTCAGCCTTGAGTTACCCTCTTCTTTGGGTCAACCCGTGTAGCCCAAGAACACTGGCACTGGTTGGTGGCAACACATCTTTAATCCCAGCACTCAGGAGGCAGAAGCAGGCTGATCTCTATTGAGTTTGAGGCCAGCCTGGTCTACAGAATGAGTTTCAAGATAGCCAGAGCTACACAGAGAAACCCTGTGTTCTGTATGTGTGGCTATTTAATCTACATCTATGTCTGTGCACCACAATATGCCTGTCTGATACTAAAGGAGGCCAGAAGAGGGTGACGGATCCCCCGAAACTGGAGTTGCAGATGGTTCTCAGCAGCCATGAGGGTGTTCTAAGTAAAACAGCGTCCTCT